TGTCATATCGCAAATTGCAGACGACGTTTCAGGAGCTGCCACTACATAAGAATCAAAGTGAATACTATATAACTATATAACTTATATATAACCTATACTATATAACTTATCTAAGACCAAATTTCATGGCGTAAGACACTGTCCCCTGCTCTCAGTATCAAAGGGTCAATGATATTTCAGCATCATCAAAATTTAACGCAATATTATTTCATTTGTACCCTTGACAGCTGCAAGGCGCTTTGATTTGCCAAAATGCTGATTACTTCGGCGCAACAAGCAGTTCGTGAAAATAGTGGCGATTGCTTTACCTGGTGATCATTGAAATGTTTATCAAAACAATACGATTATACCGTTGTCTTGACAAGCAGAAATCATGGAATTTGGCCGGACAAGTGAATCCATAGTGCATTACAGCAATAAGTGAAATCAACGGATGGTGATGTTCAATTCGCACCGATTTAATCCAGAAGAGAAGACCCCTGTCAAGGGACCACGTCAATCATTAGGCAGCCAAGCGTTCACTATTGGTTGACTGTTATGGCGCGTTGTAATTGTTTGCGACTACGTTCTCTCACGAGGAAGGAAGAAGCCAAATCAAAGTTATGTACCCTTCTTGTTTTCACTACAATGAGTGATGGCAGAGAGACATTTCAATAGGTACAGATGAACAAGAGAGACGTCAGTGATATTGTCATTGTTGATTTCTGGGAACGGTAGTAAACGCAGGAAAATGGCGGACCTGAACTGGCGCAAAAAATTCTGCCACAGGCTTTAATGACTTTAGCCAGGTTTTCACAGCTGGCAGTGGCAAAAATGGGTTACACTATTTTACCATTTTCTGCTACCACGATAATGTTATTTGTCCTCCGTACTTTAAATTGAGAGTGGAGAAATCGGTTTTAGAAATTACCATTAAAACCTCGTTATCTTAACATTACCGTCCATTAGGATAGACCTGACAACTACATTACTCTTTTTCTGTTTTTGACGTTACAATTTTACAGAGTGTTTTAAACAGACTTAGATTTGGCGGTATGCAATCACAAGGAAACATTCAAAAAATTAACATTTACAGCGAAAGATACGAGCAAGCCAGCTCACGCCATGCCCGCCTAATACTTTGAGCATTTCAGGGCGGATTTCATCGATTTCAGCAGCCTCTCCATTTTTCAAGTTTTTCACAGTTTGTGTAATTTGATCTGCAGAAATAATAATATCCTTTCCCTCCTGACAGCCTTCCTGCGGCTGCACGGGGTTAAGGAGTTCCTCAAAGTACTCCCTCATCGCCGGAGAATGTCATCATCGTTCGATCATCGACTTCTGTGCACAAGCTTCCCGGTACCAGATGTACGCAAATGTAGCTCAATAATTCTTCTGTTATTCTATCACCGCATGGCCGAATGCTTTTTGTGGCCTTTTGCAACTTATTTAGTAGCTTCATTTGAATTCGTATTGAATTCAACAACGACCTCATTATCATAATTATAGAGGGATGCAGTAATAAGCATGAAATGTGTTGCTACTGGGCGATGATGGGCGAATGTTACCGAAGCACCGTTCTGATGACCATACTTTGCCAGGAAGTTTGTGGAACGTGTGATTGCAAAGGTAAACAGGAACGCTTGAAAGATTTTAGTATATAACAAGCCTAGCTATAGCTGATGACCTTTGGGCTTGTCAGCCAAAGGTCAACTTCCTGAACTGCGCCAGGAAGTGGAAGGCCAGTCGATGTAAGAACAAAGGCTCAACCATCAGCCCGAATATACTACCGACATTGCAGAGCGTCACTCTACGACCGCCGAGGGGATCGGACGAAATCTTTGACTTTAGTACGCGTAAAGAAGAGTCTAAAGGGTTTTGAAAAAAATCAAAATTTTTTTCTAGACATAAAAGCGACGCAAATGAAAGAAGGTAAAATATTATCAATGAAACCATTGAAGCCAATGCCTTCCACGATGGTGCCTCCAGGAAGGGCAGGTAAGAAAATCACTCTATCAGTAACGTGACTTAGTTTGAAATATCGCGTTTTGTAGACTCTTATTTAAATAATTCTTATTTTACTCTTATTTAATCCTCACCTAACGCCATGACAGGTTGAACGACGAAGCAGTCCTGATTCGTGATTTCTGACTCGCTTGAAATAATGACTGTGATTTTCATTAGGCTAGGCTCTCTGTTGTGCTGAGGGTCAGAGGAAAAGTTCGCCAACTTACAGCAGAAGAAAAGCTTCTTTTCTGTCCCGTTTTGAAATCATCTTGAGAGATGGCAAAATTCAGATTTGAAGCCTTTCATTTTTCAATTAAGTTTTAATTAATTATATCCGTCTTCTGTCACTCACAAACATAAAGAGTGATTCCCTCAAAACCTGCTGAACACACCGGCCATATGATCAATAAACAACGGACTGTTCACGTTTGAAACTGTTTATTCACTAACCAGCCCTATCGCACGGCGAGTGCTTTAAATACAGCTTAAATTTCAGCTTCTAATCATGAAAACAAGTTAAGGTTACCTGTCTACAAACAATATAGTTCTCATCTGAATATCTGATACTCTTTGATTTGGTTTTTCTAACTCGATCATTCGCTTGTTTATTCATACACTTATTCTTTCATTCATTCACACCCAGACGCTTCAATGAACATCATACAGAGATCCTTTCGGAACAATTTAGGAACAATTCACAGGGCTACTGGAAGTTTCGAGAAACACAGGACGGATTCTAAAGATCATTTCTGAGACTGTAGCTTCTTTTCTACTTGTTTATATCAGGCACACTGATCT